TGCCCCCAGGTCCGCCAGCCAGAGAGAAACTGCAGTTTCGGAAATGAGCTGGAAAGGTCGCCAGTGTCTGAGGCCGTATCACCGATGGTGGGATAAGATTTAAGACAAAGGCTGCAAGTCAAACACGTTTTATGAGCTAAGAAAGTGGAAAACACTCCAAGGAGTCTGTGTTCTCAAAGACCGCGGCTTCTGCTGGGTAGAGGCCCGGCTCACAGCGGGTTCTGGCCCAGCAGGGGCTCAGAGGGGTGGGCAGCTGCTGGGGACCCCAGACCCCCTGAGGGCTCCAGAACCCGAGGGCCTGACCCCACCTCCTTTTTGGGGCCGTGACCTCAGGCTCACCTCTGCCCTGGCAAGCTCAGATGCTTTGGAGAGCCCAGCACATGCTCTGGATGTGTCGGGACTGAGTCACCCCAGACTGGCAGTGACCCTCGAAGCCCAGGCCTCGGCTGCCGCCCACCTGAGAATCAGGGCTGGAGTTGCTGTGGCCTCTTGGGATCTCAGGAACCCCATCTTTGAGCCCTGCCCCACGGCCCCGCCCCTCCCAAGGAGGGAAAAGGCGGCTGCCGGTGGCTCGACTCACAGGCACTGGGACCTGGAGCTCAGAGGACCCAGAGGACAGACGCCGCTGCTGCCACTGCAGGTGAGTCCTTGCCGTGGGGACCTCCTGGAACCAGGGCCACCCAGGGTCAGCTGCCTGCTCTCCCGCCTCTCGCCACCCCCAGCTCCCAGCCCAGGGGCAGTGCCGCCCGGGGAGGGGGACCTCTGGGGGTGGCAGCTGGGAGACTGGTCCTCATTGCCGGCTCACGTGCAGCTCACCCCCACCAGGCACAGGTCATGGAGGTCACCGCCCTCCTGGGTGCTGATGCCCCGGGGATGCCGGCGCCTGACAGGCGGGCTCTTCCTGGGGTGGGTGCCGTTCTGAGCTGCGGGCTCTCTCCATTGAGCGCACGTGTGTGTCTTCTCTGCCCACCCCTGCAGCTGGGCCATGGACCCCCACGAGATGGTTGTCAAGAACCCGTACGCCCACATCAGCATCCCCCGGGCCCAGCTGCGGCCTGACCTGGGGCAGCACCTGGAGACGGCTCCCTCCTGCTCCTCAGCCTCTGAGATGCAGCCTCCGCCCGGGGCGCCCGGCCCCCTGCAGCCCACCTGCCTCCCACAGCCCTCCGAGGGTCCAGGGCCCA